TTCTGCAGCATCATGCAGCACCTGACGGAGAACCACAAGGTGTGGAAGAAGACCATCGAGGAGGAGGAGAAGAGCAAAGAGCTGGGCAAACAGCAGCAGCCAGACAGCCTGCTCCCCAGCCTGCCTGCCGGCCTGCCCGTCTCCCCATCAGATGACATCCAGGTCATCCAGGAGGAAGAGGAGGGAGAGGAGCGTCAGTAGCAGGAGGACGAAGGAAAGAACAGAGATGCGTGAAAAAGAAGACGAGAGGCAGTATAAGGGCATTAGTCCCTCAAACACCTGCCTTTCACCGAGACAAACACAAACAGACATGAGAAACACACGCAGACAGTTGACAAACGCACATAAAACACACTTTGCTCCCTCTTTCCCTCACACATACACACACACGCACACACACGCACACACACATATATTGAAAGATTCACTGTGCAGACACTCAGATGCTTAAGCAGTCACATTGTTTTTGGAGAAACAAAAAGGCCTTACTACTGTGAGCGGATCCTTGCTGCAATGGTGGGAGCCCAACTCCTATGCACTTTCACCCCATGGAGAGTCGAGTGCACCCAGAAAAAAAAAAGAAAAAAGCACCAGAACTGAGGAGGAGGGTGCAGAAGACGAGAGTGGACGGGATCCAGCATTAACTTGCCCTCCATGGTAACCCGGCTGTGATGCTGCCTTGAATGCAAAGCGCTTACACCTCCCTTAGGTACAAAACAATTCCTGTCTATTTAAAAAAGAAAGGTAGAGGAAAAATAATGAAGAAAGCGACATCATCAAGTGATTGATACCCTTTACCAAAGTGAACAGTTCAAACATGGAAAGACAAGAGACTGAGACTGTTTCAGCCTCAATGTCAGGTATATTTTTGAATTATATATATACATAAATATATATGTATATATATATCAAATGTGCCTGTCTGAACCTTTACTGAGTCCATATTGGCCCAGAGCCTAGGCTTGTGTAGTTCTCTCTCCTTGCTGGCGACACGAAACACTGTATCAGACTCAGTCACAGAGACATTATTGAAATGTTGACTGATTAATAGCATTATATCTGCATCATTTTTGATGCTTTTACTCATGTGTACCACCCGTCTTTTTTTTTTTTTTTTTTTTTTTTTTTTTTTTTTGAATCCTTTAACTCTCCTTGCTTCATTTTGTGTGTGTGAATATTTTTTGGCGGGAATGTGATAGAGAGAATGAGTAGGGAGAAAGAGAGCACATTTTTAATTATTTTAGTGTGTAATTTGTGTGTATGTTTGTGTGTCCTTTCAGTAATGGTTTCTAATCAGTGAAATGTCCTCTGGTGTTTAACATGTTGCATTCAGATCAGGAGTGCTGTTTCAATGAATGGATTCTTCATTTTCCTTATTGATTCTAAGTATTTTTTTAAAGGTTACTCAGGATTCACGCAAAGTTTAATAATTATTTTGCAAGAATTTATGTCATTAATATGAAATACACTTTAAAAACTAAGAAAATTAAAAATCTGGGTGACTGAAGTAGTTTGTAATCTCTTAATGAACAACTTGACTACAAACAAATTCAAGCAATTGAAATCCTCTGTGACAGAGGAACATACAGTATGTGCTGTCTCTTGGCCATTCATACACTGTTTGCATAACCTTTTTACAACCTCACTGGAAAAAAGCTTATCTTGATTGTCAGCAGACTGCAAATGTCTCTCCTGCAGCAACACAACACGTTGTACAATTTTGCAGTTCTTTAAAGTATATTAGGTAATGTTTTTTTTTTTGTTTGTTTTTAAATTCAACGTTCTCTGCATTGCTTTTAAACAAACAGTACACTGTCTAAATGTTTGTGTTTCAGTCCGCCAGCAGACACTGATATTTAGACAAACTGTAAGTTCACCCATCTCTCTTTTTTCCTCATTTTCAAATTTTTTGCCAAACCCATAACTCGGCCAGTGTGTAAAGAAGGGATCCAGGGTTTCATTTCACTTTACTTTTGTTTATATATATATATTTTATGACATGCCATGAGGCAGGTTAAAAAACTACTAGTTCTCTATTTTTGTCTCTAAGAACTCTTGGCATTCCACTAGAATAAGACGTTTTATGAAAGGGAAGGCAGAATTGTTGCCTAGCTCCTTTATCACCTTATTAAATCATAATCTCTGGAGAAAATGTTAAGTAAGCAGTGTAAATCAAGTTAGTAATATTTAAAGACAAAAAATAGATAAAGGTGTGCACATTTTAATACCAAACAAGTGTTTAGCCGCTGTACAAAAGAGTATGTGCATATAAATATATATTTTTTAAATAATCAAATGAATGCATCTGTTTTCTACATGCAGCTGACATATTGTACATTGAGATCCTGTAATTACCATTGTGTTTCCAGAGTTTTTATCTACTTCTATTTACAGGTGTGGAACTGTGGGGTTTGGTGTTTTGATTTAGATTTTTCACTTGGTTTCAGCCTCTCCCTGTTCTGTATCATAACCACTCTTGTATTCCTCATTATCTCTCTCTATCACTGTTGTCTCAGTCAACCCAACTAGTGCCAAACTTTACCTACACACAGTAGTTTGTGGGCTGTGATATGCTGATGGGCAAAATTTCTCTGGGCTCCAGTACTGTTCATGCAAGAGAAAACACCTTGAGTCAAATATTCCACCAGGCTCAAAGTGGCAGTGACAGAGGCAAGAGTCAGAGTCAGACTCAGGTCAGAGCCATATACATTCTGACAACCGTGTCGTCAGTTTTTTCACATGGACCCATGCTGGATCATAAAGCCTTGGTAGCTCCCGACCCCACATATTCTGGCTCATTAAGTTGTAAAAGTTTGTTGGCTTCTCACTGTGCAGTCTTTCAAACCACAGTGTCCTCTAATGATTGTGCCATAAATACATCTATGAATGGTTGTTACCCTTATGTAGCATCAATATACGTACGTTTGTCTAATGTAACCATTCACCCTTATCTACATTGTGGGGGCAACTGATTTTTGTTGTTATTTATAGCTGTCATAAAACACCATCCCTAAAGTATCAGCAGTTCTCATTGATTTTTATTGGAGTGTGTGCGTGTGTGTCTGTGTGAACTCACAATATATTTTATTTAACACTGCTTTCTTTTCTTTTTCTTTTTTGTCCATGCCACCCCAAATAAACAGAATAATTTTAAAGACCATAAATACACCTATTGTACACCAACACAGGGTTTTTCACTTATAAGCTTGATTAGACTGATTAGACCTCCTCTCAGAGCAGTGTGTGTCTTCAAATTGCTTGACTGAATTTCCTCACTCTTACTTATGTTGCACTTCTTACAGTGGGACGACTTCCCCCCTTGTCATTTATGTTATGCATAAAACCCAAGGTAACCTGAGCATGCAGTAGGTCTAATCAGCCATAGTCATTGAAAACACTCGCGTAGGTGTACTGAGCCTTTAAAGCTGCTTTTATAGAGATTTTTAAATAAACAATGGATCAGTATGCTATATATAATGTGAAAGAGGTTGCTCATAATAACAAACAACTCTGGAGTTCTTCTCAGCAATAGCACAAAGCGTTTTAGAGTCTTAGAGTGCACTGTGTTGGTTTTATGGCCCAAATCTTTAGTTTCATTCATCAGTGTCACTTTGAGTAAAACGGTTCTAAAAAAAAATCCACTGTACTGTAACTCAGCACCAAACAGCAGACAAAGTTGGTGACTAGCTGGTGAACATAGTAGAGCATGTAGCTTCTAAAGAGCCAGATATTCCTCTCAGAAGTTTGTTATCTTGGTGATTCTGTATCAGTGTGTTTAGAACTTGTTGCGCTGCCCCCAAGTGGCTCAAAAAAGTCAGTTAATGCAGGAAATACCATCTACTCGCCATACTGTTAATCACTGGATGCACAGCACATCCAAAGGGGTGAGTGGTAAACTCAGAAAAGGGGTGACACCATAGCTGCTTTTCACCATTCATGAACTTTGATTTACAGATTATTAAAATGAATGATTATGTTGGGTGTTTTGCAGGCAGAAGCTGGGTATGTAGATGGCTGTGTCCTCTGCCTGTCATGTCGATCAAATGATTCTGCAAGTTCTGAGTGAGAATCTGGGGTGTTAATATAACAGTAATATATCTTAAGTCTTTGTTCATTTCAGAGTTGGGCTTTTAGCAATTTAGCCAAGGTTAAAACAAGACAAGGCACGTTTTCATTATCTTAAAAAACACTTTATGAATACACAAAATACAGCCAGTATTGCAAAAAAAAAAGGACAAACAAATGTTAAAACCTTAATGCAGTACTTTGTTAGTACTGATAAGCACCATTTAGCAGAAATCAGTGTTGCATAGTCAGTTTCTAGAAATCCACCAGGGTTGAATTTGCCTTCTAAGAGAAAGATTTTCCATAGAGCACTATCCCTGGAGAAGGGGTCAGAATCAGTTCAGATGACGTAAATCCTGGCCCCTGTCCAGCTCTAATACACAGAGGGAGAGGGTTCAGAACTTTCTTGGAAAGTCTGATAGTCCCATTTTGCCCCACACGTACGAATCAGTGGTGCCATTTGTCTGACCTGAAGCTGTCCAGACAAGTCAGGGCTATGAACCATCATAGGTGTACTTACTATCAATCATTGACACATACATGTACCTAACCCATCACTACCGCATGGACATTTCACTTTCCAGGCTCAGGGGATCTCTGAGCTCCAGAGATCTAAATCAATAGCACACTTATGTTCCCAGGATGTCCTTTCAGCAGAGTCTTGCCGCCTCCCCTGCTGCTTAAAAGGTATTGTGCAAATATGCATCCTGCTCAGTGAGAGAATTTGATAGTAAAGTAAACTGGATCACACAGTCCTATGTAGAGAGCCACCTCGGCCACTGAAAGTCCTTAAAAAACTGTAATGCGCCGGAACTGGACATTACAATCCAGTGATACAGTTTTATGCACCCCTATCATGTGGTTGCATTGCTGTGCAAAATAGTTAAAATTCTAGCTTGAACAGCTGAACAAGCTGTAAATAAATGTCTGCTTGCCTACTTGTGATAAGGAGTGTCTCTCGAGCAGGGAACTTTCTGTTGCCTGCGGACAGCACAGATGGAGTAAGGTTTGGGCTGTAAGGTCATGCCCAGTTTGGGAGTGAGAGTGGGAACGGTTCCTGGAGGGAACTGAAGATGAAACCTCTGGAGCAAAGTGGTGAAAAAGAGGAACATCTCCATCCTGGCCAGTTGTTCACCCAAGCAATGACGCCTCCCTGAAAAAAGAAAATTCATTAATTTACACTCATACGCACAGACACAACATCTGACTAATATGGATTATCAGTTTAATTTAAAATAGGCTTGACTGATGACGGTGTGTGCTGGGGATGTAAAAAACACAAGGGACTCTAGTTCATGCTCTATGAGAATGTCCTGTGATAAAGACTACGTGACAACAGGACAGAATTCAGTGTATATCAGAACTAAAAACTTTTCTAAACTTTAAAATGTAACTTATGAAAACAATTTGTGGGTAAATGAAATAGCCACTGACAGGTCACTGTCTCGTTAAAGACTACAGATAATGCACAATAATTTGGATCAGGAGTTTCTGCGGTTTTAGAGAAATCAAAAGAGACTAACCCATGGAGAAAGGAAGGAAAGCCTCGCGCCTCACAAAGTTGCCATTGCTGTCCAGAAACCTCTGTGGTGAGAAAACACCTGGATCGTTCCAATACTTCTCATCAAAGTGCACTGAGTAGAGATTCGTGATCACCATGGTGCCTTTGGGAATTGTGTAACCATTGACTTTTGCATCTTGGGAGGTGGCACGGAAAATACCAAGTGGGACGATGTTGCAGAAGCGAAGGACCTCGTGCAGCACAGCCTCCACGTAGGGCATCTTCTGTTTGTCCTCCAACGTGGGTGCCCTCCCGTTCGCCAGGACACTGTCGATCTCTCTGTGCACCCTCTCTTAGCACAGAAAAACAGACACCACCATCAGGCATTTGCGTGCGTAACATTACATAACAATTACATTTAGAGCAAACTCAAACAGTCAACTAAACTCTAAAGACATGTGCATCAGACCTCTCTCGTGGTCACACTAGTAAAGTAAAATGTTCACATATTGGGACGATGCCTCTACTGCAACTGACCTTGTATGTTGGGGTAGAGGGCCATGTACAGCATGGCCCAGCGCAGGGTGTTAGTCGTGGTCTCTGTGCCAGCAATAATGAGCTCTCCAACTGAATAGATGAGGTTTTCATAGGAAAAGGTGGAACTGGAGTCTCCTGCATTCTGCTCCAATTCATCCAAATATGCATCAACATAGTGACGAGGTACGTGTGGCACCCTGCCCTGTGAAAAACCCTTTATAACCTGCAGTAAGAAGTCATAAACCTCGGCAGCATTGTGGAACAGCTTCTGGTGTTTTCCAAAGGGCACATACTCAATCCAAGGGAAGGCATTGTAGAGGAAGGCCCAGCCGCTCACTGCGAGCTCCACGTTCTCACTGAATATCTCAATCATGTGCTGGAAGTTGCGGTCGTCGTAAGTAAAACGCTGTCCAAAAATGATCAGGTTGGTGATGTTGGACACCGCGTTGGTCACAAGGTGTTTGGGGTTGAAGGGCTTTCCCTTGTGTTCATCGATGGCGTCGACAAAGAACATGCACTCCTCTGAGATCTTCCTCTGAAACAGCCTCTGGCCACTGCCGAAGTAACGGAAAGAGTTGCAAGCCAGTTTACGGTGTTCAATCCAGCCTTTGCCATATTTACAATTAAGAAGGCCTGTGGATAGTGGAGAAAAAAGAAAAGAATTCAATCTCTTAAAATATAGATAAGACTTATAACAATAAAAGGCTCATTTTATTGCATTGTAATCATATCACTGTATCTTACCACCCATTTTGGTCATTTTCTTGAATAAAGGCAGCGATGGGCGATCAGCAAACACCTCACTCTGATGGTAAAGGCATTCCCTGACACAGTCATATCCATTCAATACCACAGTCAAGATGCCTCCCAGGTCAAGACTAAAAATCTGAAATGCACACATTGTGACATTTATACACATTTATGTGTAACAATTGTAGACATGTTGCAACATTCAGTTTTAGTGCTCCTCTCCAAAGTGAGGTTTCATGAGCCAGAAAGTTAGGGATGAGTTAAACTTCCATGATATATAACAGGACAGAGTGAATGAAACAGACTCCATCTAAAACAGATATCCAGCTCTGCACTTAAATTATGTTTAACTTTACAAATCCAAGTCTGCGCCCTTATATGTATTTTGTTTTGGGAGACCCTGATTTGCCAGTTATTTTTCTCCAAGCAAATGTTACAGACCGCCAAATGTTAGGGCGAGTCTCCTTTGTTCGTTTCAGGAGGATTTTCCAGTGTGTGTGCGCGCGTGTGTGTGCGTGCGTGTGTGTGTGTGTGTGTGTGTGTGTGTGTGTGTGTGTGTGTCTGTCTGTCTGTCTGTCTGTCTGTCTGTGCGCGCATGTGTGTGTGTGTGTGTGTGTCTGTTCGCGCAAGTGTGTGTGTGTGTGTGTGTGTGTGTGTGTGTGTGTGTGTGTGTGTGTGTGTGGAGAGGTTCATGCACCGCACAGTTTGCAGAGCACTCGGCTAGAAAAGATCTGCAGTCATGAAATACGCTGTCGGCTGAGTCATTACCTGTCCATGAACTTCACTCTGCTTCTTGAGGAAGACGTGCGGCTCGGTGGCCAGCGACAGAATGTTCCCTATCACAGGGATGGGAGATGGACCAGGAGGAAACCCCGGGGGCCTTCTCTGCTTGACGAGCTGGCGAACCAGCAGGAAAGCGAGGAGGGCGACAGCCAAACAGCCCACACCGAGCAGAGCCTGTGCGCAGGACACCGGCACCAGAGACGGCGACTTAATTGAAACCATCTTTTCGGAACTGTCTCTTATTCTCTTCCCTGCCAGACTTACCCTGCTGACTTCGGCTTCCCCTCAGACGAACTGAAGCACATATGTATCATCTTGCACATTTTCTATCCCCCGCCTCTAAGGCTAAGATTGGCCAGAAAGACAGAGTCAACTGTTGGTGAACTTTGCTCTGCTCCTGATCAATAATCGGGATCATTTTGGTGGTTGTTGGGTTGACTTCTTGAGGGGCCGGGACGTCATTAAACTGCAGTTGATCAGGCCCCTTATTGGTTGCAAAAATGTTTCGGCTATTAAAGTTATAAAATGCATGTATTAGTTGGACTCAGAAACACACGTGCACCAATAGCGCGTTGATGCAAGAATGAGAATAACACGTGCACAAACATTAATTGACATCATCAATTATGTAAGTATGATCTTAATATATCATATAACAGTGGAGGCGGGCGTGCGGTGGGGAGGAAACCATAGAGAAAACCGCACAGTGTGCAGTGCACACAAAGTTGGGAAGCGTCTTTCCTCGTAGGGCGGTACATGGAAAATGCTGGAGCACATTTGAGTTCAAAAACAGGCTTTGCGAATGTGAACGTTTAAAGCTGCAACTTCCTGCGCCTTAAAAAGAACAAGGATGATCAGAAATAGAATCGATGAAAACCACCTGAAAAATTTGATTGGAGAAGACGGGGCACAGACTATTATGGCTACTGAAATAGGAAGATGAGTATGCTATTAATCTTAAAAGTTTTGTAATAAAATCTTCTAAGTAGCGTACCATTAGTAAGGAGTCAATAATATTTTCCTGCACTCAAATGTAATTTTAGCCTAATTTGTGTAGTGGTCAAAGTCACTATTGCTTTGAGAAGCTAGAAAAGGGGGATTATAGGCAACAAAAGGAAGATGTACTTGGACATATTGCTGTCATCTCGCTGTAAAGATACATCATACACTATAGGCCTATACCAACTACGCCCACAGTGCCACAGAACTTCTCTCATTATTGTACTTTCAAAACAATTTCTTTGGCAATATCTAAATAATTTGAGAACAGCACACATAGTATTTTGAATAATTTTTTTTTCAGTGCATGTCCATGTAAAAATATAATAGAAACATGAGGAGGAGTTATGGACCACTTTCTCAAGATAGAAGGCAGCAAAAAAAATGTTCATTATGTTAGTGAGTAAAACATCTTGAAGCCTGTTGATACAGTGATACAACTGAGAAGTGGGGAGCAGCTGAGTTCAGAGAGCACATAACCTGATAAATGTTTTCTTTTTTTCTTTTTTTTCAGATCTGTGGTGGAACCTACCGACTTATTTTTAAGAATGTAACAAAGTGGCAATATTTACACTTTGGCCGTATCAACAGAAAACAACAGGAAAAAAAATGCAGCGAACAATGAAAACATTACAGATTTTTTAAAATATTTTATATGATGTATTATATAAAATATATTTAGATTTTTGTTGATTCTCATACCAAAATGTATTTGGTTATTTTTCTATATGTTCACCTAGTTTCTTTTTTGAACATTGCTTTCATATTTATTTGAAATTTTACACAAATTTATTTTACACATTTTAAATAATATATTGCAATATAATTTTTTGTATCTTTTTTCTTTTTTTGTTGGAGCAAAAAACATTTTTAAACTTCCATAATACACAGTAATATAAAATGTACTGATAGTAATCACAACAGGAAATGAAAAAGTTTACACAAAAACTTGGAGAGCCTCTTTTTTGTATCAAAATTGAATTCACTGAGGTAATTAACTGAGAAGTCCTGGTAAAGCATGTTTGTGTATTAGTCGGTTTTGTTTTAAAGCAAATAAACTTTGCCCCAGTAAGCTGCTGCAGGTTCCTTCACCTCAACACGTTAAAGGTTAGGTCCTGCACTACATTCAGAGGTCAAAGGTTAAGGCATGCACCACATTCCAGACTTGCATAGTTGTGTGAGATTTTTCAGACTTGTCGGCTAAGAACCTGAACTCATCCAGACGGCGCAGGACTGTGCACAAGTGTTGTAATAAATGGGTATTGAGTTTTAAAAGTCAGAACTCGGTTAGTGGTTGTTTTCTAGCCAAGTAAAGCGAAATTAATAAACACACACGTAAAAACATATTTGCCAAATATTTGAAATAATCCCATGTATTCATAGACGATAATCACTATACAGTTGTTTACTTATTCACTTTTTTTATTGCCAAGAGTTTTCCTGTTCTCTGTCACGGAAGTGAAGATGGATAGAACTTGTTGAGATTAACCCTGGAAAATGTTATCATCTCATTAAGGTGGTGCTAAACTATAAAGAATTTGCACTTTTATAAAACCATGCTCTCCACTTTGCTGTGTGATCAGTTCATCATGACTGGCTCCTCATTAGACATGGAGTTGTTTATCCAGCTGTTGCTTCCTGCTGAGGCAGCTGCTCAGCTTTTTTTTCTTAGATGCCTCAAATGGCCTCTACAGACCTCTCCCAATCATTCAGATTTGTTAGGGCTACCTAATGAGGACATTCTTGCAAATGACTTCTATGCTTCCTGCCAGTTCCCCAGACTCAAAAGCTATTCTAGAAGCTTTATACCAATCTGTCAGTTTTAATCAAATAAACATGGTTTCACTGTTGCATTATCTTGTTGGTGGTTGGGTTAATCAAAACACCAGTGACAAGAGTGCCCAGGTGGTATATTGGACCATATTTTGTAAGTGGCATGAATTCTGAAAAATACAAGATTAAAAAATAGAAGACAGAATAAATACTGCTATTACTAGGCAATTTAAAAGAAAAAAAATTGAAAATGCCAAAGTTTATATCTGAAAATGTGTTTGGAGTAGAGGGCATAATATTATCAGGTTAGGTGTAACAGGCTTTACTGGTAGACCCCAATAATTGTATCTGGAAAAAAATGCCAATATTTTTTCTATCTTTCTTCTAAAATAATTCCTGTTTTGGGAGCGAGTTATTTTATTTTGCGCATGTTCTTATGCCCTGGGACAGGAGTGGGCAGATTGACATATACATATTAACATAATACATTTACTGAAAGGGACACGCCAACAATTTTATTGACTGAATTATAAACTGGTATTGGGAGGATTGAACGACGCGGGGGGTCTGCTGAATGACATTATGAAATCCTATGTTTATGGAGTTGGATATGTTAGCTTCTGCTCCATCACATTTTTTTTTTTTTTAAATAATTCTTTTTTGTCACTTGCAAGTCCCACAAAAATGAAGGTATTTCATCACAGTGCTGCAAAACTTATATTAGTCCTGGGCATTTTTTTGAACATTACCCATAATGACCCAAAATAACAAAGATTAAAGGGATAGCTGCCAACATATCATTGGTACGGAAAAAACAAATTTATACAGTCTCACAGGAAGCCATATATCATCATATTGCCCAAGTCTATCCTGGGGTAATTTTATTCCATCCTGATCAATGTATGGGATTTAATGCAGTTACTGTATGCGTGGTAGAACAGCATCAGTCTTTACGTTATAAGGCCACTTGAAGAGTGTTCTTCCGGTCTTTCTATACTGAGGGGCATGTGCAACATGTCTGATTGGGTGGGTCCCTTGACTACTGTTGTTCTACAGTAAATTATTAACATCCGGATGACTGGAATTATCAAGTGCATGTGGAAAATCTAATTACCAACCTTCTCTAATGCTATCCAGAACCTCTTTTTCCAACAACACAATGACAGTGACAGACGCAACAAGGAGTCTAGTAATCCCTCTGCAACTACTGGCCAGGTGTTTAAATGTTAGGTTAGGTTTGGTAAGCTTCCTAATGGGGCGCAGCAGGTGGAAGTCCTTTCGTTGAGGATTACTTACTCAATGTTTATAATCCCATGAGCCTCAGTTTAAATGTATTGTTCTGTTCGAAGATACAGAGACCGTCCTTCTCAGGCTGGAGGGGAAAAAACTTTGTGGAGGACTGATGTATCTTTTGCATCTCAGATAATTAAAGATCCATCCATAAGCTCAAATTTCCATAATTCTTTCACACTCACTTTGATATCACTGTGGGATCATTCCAGCCGATTATCAACTCTTGCTGCTTATTTGAATAATGCAAACTGACAATAAAGCTTTGAAAGAAATTCTCTTTGGGACTTTTTCTTTTGTCAGAGAATGGTGCTGGGACTCTGACAAAAAAACAAAAAACAAAAAAACAAATTCATACTGACTCAGCTGAGACTGTCACTGATGCACTGCAGTGAGCGTAACGCTGCCCTCTCTGTCACAAATACTCTCCTGTGCTGTAATTAATTTTCCAGACCAATTCATGCCTAACATTTGGGAATGTGAACAGTGTGAGCTAATTGCGTTCTTGACAATACACTTTCCCCCTTGGAATGTTATTTCTCTGCCTCAACTCATGTCCCTGGTCAGAACAGACAGTGGTGATCTGAGGCCTCGGAGCAGTTCCCAAACCGAGACAGTGTGAGGAGTACTTAACTTTTACAAAGACCAATACAAAGTGCATCTCCAATACTTGACCTGTTATAAGGCCACTTGCCATGGAGGAAGAGACAACATTCTCAAATTTCTATAGTTATTACCAAACTCTAGATTTTCGATGACAGTGATTTTCTGTCTTGAGATACGGTACATGCTCTATTGGGTTAACATTGCCTGAGAATTTGGGCATAAGTAGTTACTTTAAAGATAAATATATAAAATTCAAATTTTCATAGCAAGGTACTCAAACGACAACAAGACAATTAAAATGAATCACTGTGTGTGTATCTGGAATCTCCAGCTCCTAAGTGTTTAGTCCTCCACGAGCAGTTTCTGACAGTATGTGGAGCTGTTGGAGACTAATTTAGTGCCTTGTGTGGGGCCTGCAGGCCTGCTCAATAGTACTAAAAGGCTCATCTACTCTAATGAGTTTCCTTGTGACGCAAAAAATAACTGGGAGGCAGGATGCTTTATGCTACATCATCCAATATTGTTACATAAGGGGAATTAGAAGATGGCCAGAGACCAAGAGTCCAGTAATTATCTTGTAGAAACCGGATGAACACCACTGAATTCTGTGGGAAGGTTTAGTTTATCCATGGAGCGCTCACTACGAGGCCCCCACATTAAAAAAAACATTATTTTGTCCAACCATAAACTATGAAAATGAGGGGGATCAAACTGCTCTGCAGATCTGGCCAGATATTAAACTCTCGGTTGCAGAGACACAGTATGTTGAAAACTAACTCAGAAATTGGCTTCCACCAACTTCCTCTTAATTTGTTGGGCAGTGTCTGATGGGGTTGTACTAAAGCATGTGATGGAGCAGTTTGTGACTGTGGGGTACACCTGGAACTGTGAATTCTCCCTGGCTGTTTGATGGTCAAATACCTTCAACATGATGACAAACCCATCATAACAAGAGCCAACAAAAATGACTCAATGGATAATTATTACTCAGTGCTCAGGGCTTCTCATCCTTTTGTGACTTATATTAGATTATACACTGTTGCCCATAAAGTCACAATCCTCTGTTTATTCCTATTTAAATGCATCAGTAATCACTTTTGACCAGCTGCAATGATTACATTATCAGTCCCAATTACCCAGGTGAAATGAAATAAATCACATTGTCACAATCATTTCATGGAAAGAGGTAAGAAATATTTTATTCCAACTTCATGAGCAACAGTATATTTGTTTTTTCAATATAAAGGCCCTGCCATAAATACTAGCTGTATGAAGCTTTAATTGAACATATTTTGCTTAGGACTTTATCACTGTGTCTCTCAGTGGAACAACTGTTCCCTTTTCAATGATCAAAAATGCATCCTGAGTGAGTGCAACAAAGACTGTTTGTCTCTTTTGGGGCAACCTTTTTTTTTTAAGTTCAACACATAGCTAAAACATAATTAAATGTGACCGACTTGTGAACAATCACTGTCTTTGTGAATGAAATGACATCTCATGGTATTTCCAATTTTTATCCACTCTATATGTGAGTAGGTACTGTGCATTCCATGCCTCTTATTGGCCCTAGTCCTGTTCATCTTAACCACTTAATGATGAAATGGCACCACATTAAACTTAAACTCAAGAGCCTCACACACTGTGAGATTGTCAGGGAGAGTCTTCTGTCTTATTGTGTTAAAGCCCCATTTATCCTGCTTAAAAGAAATTACGCTACCAACTGTTTCCAGTACCTGGCAGCTTTTTTGTGAATTGATGTAATTTACATACAAGCTCTTTTATTGGCTTGCTGTAAGTGACGTAGGACTTCTGATTGGCTAGCAGTTTGAGGTAAAACATCCGACTGGCCAATAGAGCATGATCAAGTGCTCACTTAGTTAATACAGAAACCCAAGGGGAACATATATAAAAGGCTGTACTGTGGGAGTCCTCAGCAGATTCACAAGTGAGTCTTATCATTTAATTCTTCATTACCAGACGATTTAGTATCTTACGGTAAGTACAGATAAAAGACTGCTTATTTATATTATAGTAGTAGTTATGATGTCTCTGTTAGAAATATCAGATGTCTCTGTTAGAAATATCAGATGTGATGCTGATGCAGAGAAAGTGAGGACTGAGTAACTACAACTACACTGGTGGATACTGGATGCTAATAGAAAATCGATGGTGCTCTGCTGGTTTGTTGATGTTATACCATCTATGGTAGGCTGCGGCTAATTCTGCTAATGGACTGTTATAGTTGCTGGCAAAGCTTCCGATATCAGTATATCAGTAATAGATCTTCTATCTGCATGTGCAACCTCAGCGGCTCTAACAGAGGAGTGTGAGAGAGAGACAGAGACAGAGAGAAGTCATATAGCTCTATGCATGTAGATGAGAAAGTCTGAGTCAAAAACATGTTTAAAAGCATGAAATGCTTTTAAAGACTTTTACTTGCAACATTTTTTATTACCTTGTTTGGTATTGTATGTGTTTCCCACAGAGAACCATGATAATGCTGAGACTCTGGACTCTCCTTCTTGCCTATGCGCTGATCATTTGCCAGATGTACATCTCACAGGCAGCTCCATCCAGGTGAGACTTGTGGCATTATCCCTAAAAGTACACTAATATGTGAAAAAAAATCATTTCCTCAAAGCCCCAAAGACAACTGAATAACTGTGACTGAATGTGTATTTTCAGAACTAGCAAGGAGTCCATGTCAGATGGAGTCACACTATCAAATGATAATGCGCAAAGGTTACTCAGAGATATGAAGGCATTAATGCAGATAACTTCAGATGAGCAAGACCACCAAACAGCTGATGGGAACAGGTATCTTAACTATCTATCTATCTATCCATCTATCTATCTATCTATCTATCTAACCATCTGGTAAGCAAAATGTAACAGACTTTTGTCCAACAGCTCCGACTTTGGTGTTTATTATTTATCAAGGTATATAGGGAAATAAATGTAAATCTACTCTCTGTCATAATCCCTTATTGCATGGACTTAAGTTATTCATTCATTCATCCATTCATTCAGTATTAGTAAATGAGTTTCCTTGGTCAGAAAACCGAAGAGAGCATGATATCAAAGAATATGAGAGAACATGCATGATAGATATTAGTATAGAGAATGAAACGGAACGACAGCATGACAACCAAAATATTTGCCTCACGAGAATCTCCATATGCCCGTTGGATCTTTCAGCATGCCTTTGAGATGTTAATTTAACTCAGCATTTCTGTAAATGCATGACATTTTAGAAAAACTTCATGCATGTAACTATTAATATTTATCTGCATGCCACAGTTACTGTAAGCCTGTCTCTGCATGTTTGTCTCTGTCTCTAACAGCTTGGATAGACCCATGTCTAAGCGTTGCACCGGCTTAAGCACTTGTGTGCTGGGCAAACTCTCCCAGGATATTCACAAACTGCAAACCTATCCCCGCACTGACGTAGGAGCAGGGACGCCTGGCAAGAAGAGAAGTCTATCTGAGCGATATGAAAACTATGGCAACTCATATAATTGAAACTCTTTTTTAGCCCATCTATTCTTTTCATCAGTGCTTTTCATCCAGCTCTATCCATACATCAGACTGCTGATGCATGTCAGACTAACTTCAACAAAACATCCTTGCTTTAATTTTCCACCGGCTGACATTAGATTTTGACAGAGATTTGAAAACTTAGAATTAGCTATGAAATTGTGTTTGGCAGTTCTGTATAATACAATAAAAAAAATAAGAACAGCTAAAAATCTTTCTGATGTTAACTTATTTTTTTCTTTGTGTTAATTATTTTTCCTCTGGAATAAATTAATCTTTTCATCAAAGCTGTATTTAATTAATTCAAGATTGAAAACACACATGACTCATAGATTAAGAACATGAAGAATGAAAGGGTAAGCATGGCTATCTATAATGTAATCTATTATATTTGTTTAATGTAATAATTCTAGATAGTATTGTTCAAAGTCTGTCATGTAGATGTCTGATCTGATCTTGAATATCATAACAAACTGTGTTCACTATCTTTTCCATTCTGATAAGCAATGCAACAGCACAGAAGCGGGCATGCAACACAGCCACCTGTGTAACCCATCGCTTGGCTGACTTGCTGAGTCGGTCAGGGGGACTGGGGCACAGCAACTTTGTTCCCACCAATGTGGGCGCCCAGGCGTTTGGCAGACGGAAGCGGCACGGACCCGTGTGAGCACAAGAGCAAATACGTGGTATGTTACTACTCCGTACTTCCATATCAGTATAATTGCTGGACTCATGGTAATTTATACTGTAGATAAAGTATAAGAGAGGGATTAAACAAAATCATTGTATTTTAAATCTGAGTTTAGAATTACTAAGCTTTACTAGCATTAGTCTCATCCTAAATGTACTTTCTGTATTTTTGTATTTGGAATATTTGGTGTTACAAAAGTGCAAGGTAGTCTTTTATATTTTGATATACCCATCAAGGGCAATCTTTCAGTATATTATTGTCAAATCTGTTAGTGTTATGTTTCAACCTGTGTAAGGTGTTGTATTATGTATATAAGAAAACTATTGTGGTATTCCTGTAATGGGTATTGGGTTAACACAATCTATCTGCATTTAAAATTCCATGTCATGTTTTGCTAAGTATGGCATTGATGTGGTCATATACAGTACACCATACACTGACCAAGCCTGATTGGCTACATTGACAAAAAGTTAGCATTACACAGTATTAACTTTAATCCATTCTGTCTCTACCAATATTTCCAGTGGCAGTCTACTGTCAATAAAGCCAAATGCCCCAATGAAATTGTCAATGAATCCTTTCTCAATTTTCTGTGCCTCACAATACAATTGTTTTGTCTTCTCTCCTCTTTAGGACCGAGTGCCTCCTTGAGTGACAAAACTGCATCATAATCCACCTACAATCACTTTGAAATGAGAGTGTCATTTAGAAAAATACCCTTCACAAACATGGACTTATGTCTTGCTTTCAGACTACCAGACAGTTGCCAGTATATATTTTTTAGATCAGAATGGATTTTTTTTCTCTCTTTTCCTGTGGCTCAACTGCACTTCTGACCTGTGTCTGCAGTACAGTGTGTGGAAATCTTATACTGTACATCTGCACTACCAACTAAACTTTCAACAACTGTGGCTGTCTTGCGCCTTGATGTAAAACTCTTCATTACATTTCATTATAGTGCACAATGCAATTATGAAAAATGTACTAACAATTGTGTATTGAAGGCAGGAATAAATTGTATTTTAGCTACATTAGGCTTTCATGTCTTACTGTATTTTTGTTTGATTGGGTGATATAAGCTGAAAACCATATTGAGCTTACATGCACTATCAATTCATTTCAAAAAGGTACAGATAAAAACAAGGTGTGCGCAAAAAATCAAACAATGGCATTCGCGTTTCTGTTTTCATGGAAATAAAGTGGACATATTCAATCCACATGGAGGACTTGATTAAAGAATAGTTATTTAAAACATTTCAATGAGTTGCAAACTAGTATTTCATACTATTTTGTTATATGAGATACATTGGTAAGCATATCTCTTTGAACACATTTATATTATATGTTGTCACACCTGGCTAATTTTGCCCTCCTGTGGTTACAAGTCACTGCTTTTTCATTGGATAGAGCTGCATTGAAGAAGTGTCATAAATGAGGGTTATTTTTAATTTCTCCTGCAGCATCACACTCTTACTTGGTTTCTAGTAAAGTTTTTATGTTGTTTCAATAAAAATCCAATAATAATGTACCTTCAAGTGTTGCTTTTCCGCATACAAGTAGAGAGACGGTTTTGGGCATAATTTCTCAAATGGTCCATCATGAAAGACTCCTGTCATGTCCTAAACAATACTGCAATATGATTGAGTATATTAGCAGATTTCTTGAATCTCAAACCACTGGAAAATAATGGAAGCATCCTTTACTGTAAAGACAGCCAATTGTAGGTTTTTTTCATCAAGGGAGGGCCAAACAAAACAATAATAAATGCCAACAAAGGTGATACTTGGATAAAACTTATGAAACCTCCAAAGCAGACTTCACTAAAGCAGAATAATTTACCTAACTTTAAACATACTATGGCTGAACATACCGAGCTGCTTAAAATGAGTGAACAATTGAGATAAAATTCAATCAATCAATATATATTTGATTCTATACTGTGATACTGATATATAGTACTATATACTATATTCTGATATATAAAATTTCACGAAGAATCTATTGACAAACTGTTTATGGCTGGACTAACCAGACCAGGAGATGTGATATTGGCTCATCGACCAAATAAAATGCCTGACAAATCAAGGCTGTTTAACAAATGGATCCAAAAATTTATAAAAAATTGAAATATAGCTGTAAAGCAGTCACTAATTTGTAACATTGACTACAACACCCCAATACACCAAGAGAAATCTCTGTTGTTTGACAAATTTATATTGTTTCATGATATATCACCTCACCATATTACCTATGTGCACAGATTTAGTACTATATCTGTTAAATGCTAACACAACAATTGACAATAAGATTAATGAAACTAATTTACCCCATGTAAGGAGATTGACATTGTCGGACTCACAATGCTCAGTTTAACAAAAAAGATCAAAATCATCAGATCATCAGATCAAAATTGATGCATCAGAGCAACAGGTGTCATCTTTTTATTCCGTGCAATATTCTTCCTTGTGAAAACCTGCTGTCTATATTACCTACAATGCAAATCAACTAGATTCACAAAAGTACAAATTTTGGTGTCTTGTGTCTTAGCGCCTAATATATCCTTGAGTCGCTAGTCTTAGGTAGAAATGAGGATCCAGCTACAGGTTTTGCGAGATCACTTCTTGCCAATTCCACATTCGCAAATTGTTTTCAGCCTTGCAGCCTTCAACCCCAACCAATGCTGACTGAAGTCAGCCTCAAGTGATGTCACTTAAGGCAATTTATCAGACTTTACACCAAGTCTCAACCTCTTGAGCTGAAAAATTAAGCCAACATGGTAAGTGAAGTTTCTTGAATGGCCACTTGATGCTGACTCCAAAAGCAACTCAATCATCATATACTCCCTTTTTAAAATGCCCATCTTTACAGCAGAAATAAACATGTTTGCAGCCTGGTACCAAAAACGTTGTTAATCTCTAATCTCTCTAGCTAATTTCCCATTTAAATTTTATCAAGCCTTAAAGTTGTGCATGGAGGTGGCCACTCTGAGTGACAGGTGGGTTCACAGTCCACTTACTGTCTGTCTTATCTCTTTTTTTGTCTGAGGCCTTTATAGTTTATAAATGTGTTGAGGAACTCATATTGCGCACACACACATGCACTAACACGCATGCGCTGCAAGACTGGATACCAATACAAAGAACAGAGACACTCAGATTACAAGACCTTTATAGGTGGTGTGATTTTGTTCTCTGCTTCAGACATTACCCCACTATAGGCTATCTTTACACAGAAAAATATATGATTACTGATATATTAATGTTTAAAATGTTGTTTACAGCACCCTTATTTGTACACGTTTCTACACTTTTTTATTTTTTCCTTTATTTTGTCACCTGTCTGTCTGCAGTGGAGACCTGTCAACATGCTTTGATGTGTAAAATACGTTCAGTAGAGTTCCCCTTTAAGAGTTACAGAGGCCAGGTAGGAGAGAGGGCGGGACTCAATCGGCTCTTCGTTCAGGTTGCACCAGTTAATGAAAAACAAGCCGTTAAGTGACACCGGTGAAGAAAAGTGTCTAGTACGTAACTGGCAATACGCGACTTAATAGCTTTTGTTAGTGGTGACAAGTAAAAAATGGAGCCTAAAAAACATCCAGTCAAATTCACACTAAAGTTAAAGGGGAAAGCAAAGAAGGAACATATCAACGAAACAACGAACACCTGATGATAAAGGCCAGAGGGACGTTAGCATGCCTGTCACCAAACAGCTAAGCCATCTGACTAGCTACTACGTTGGTACTAGTGATAAATTGGTAACTTCGGTTTCGAGAAACATAATTTCCTTGAACAAAGGAAAAGAGGCTTACTATTGTTCCCAAAGCTGGGAACAAGGATGCAAAGTTTGCTCATCCCTAACCCAAAGACTACAACTGGCAAAAAGTGGCGCACTTCTGCGGTAGTGACGACGGAGGAAAGAAAGAATGGATTATTGCGCCATTGCAATTAAAACTGTTGAAGAACGTGTCGGACAGTTGGACTACAACTCAAGAATTCATCTGCCCTGTGTCGAGGAGTAATGTCTCACCTAAAAGTAAGTCATTTTTTTATACATTGCATTACTATGCTGCGAGCATGAACATACTACTGAAAATTAGCATTACTGTTTGTGTGTGTGGCATTAGTAACATTTTGGCTTGGTTATCAGTCCTAATAGATAAACATTAGACCTGTAGGTGTGGTTATCATTGATGGCTTATGATGGATAAGCATCGTTGATTTGACTGATCAGCTCGTTGTTTTGTGTTGATTTTTTTGACAGCTGACAGTTGATCGAAACTTTTGTTTGAAGAGTTATGTGTCAGTCAAAGTGTTTGGCTGTCTATGTGTATCGTGTTTTAATTAATTAATTTGAGTTATTAGCAAACATGAATAAAACCTTGCCTCACTCTTTTGATATTACAGGCTGCTAAAAATCATAGCCCACCCAAATGTAAAACAAACAAACAAACAAACAAACAATTAAACAAACAAACAAACAAACAAACAAACAAACAAAAAAGCAGTTCCTGTACCTTATCAAAGAAACTAAATTTAAACATAGAAAAAGTAAGTGGAATTAATGAAACTATTATGCAGAGATGGAGAGGTGTTTTGTCTGGCGTGGTAATGAAGACACAGTGCCTGGGTTGAATCTCAGGAAAGAGATGAGCAGATCACTGAGGCCACAGGGATGTGGACGGTTGCACAATAGTCATTGTGGTATACAGAATGACAGACTCATAGTGATATGTAAAGAACATCCTCTAGCAACTAGTTATTGATTAGAGTGTTGGAATAAAGTTGATTGGTCAAACATGATGATGTACAAAATTTGTGAATGAAAAGTTTGACAGTGTAAGAAACTAAATGGGTATGTGCTTCCTCTGAACAATACCTGCAACAGCAGAGCATATTTATTGAGCGGGGGTACAATTTCCTCCTACAGACTGTCCTGGTTAAAGCACAGGAGGCTACTGGCTGACTGGAGGGCTATCA